TTCAGAATATCTTTTTTGAGTGTTTAACAGAGGAAAGAATGGTTTGTAACAAATGGAGGGCGAGTAAATAATAACAGAATTTCATTTTTGGGTGAACTATCCCTTTAAACTCCAAAGCTAAAAAAACAAACAAGCAAAAATCACTATTTTGGAAAGTGGAAGTAAACTGGATGTGACTGCAGTGGTTTTTGTTGCGGAGGTATGTAGTGAAGGTGGGCCTGTCGGGTCAGCGGGGTCTCCGGAGAGATCGCTTCTACCTGAACTTTATCGGCTGAAGCATCTGTTGTAATTTCTGTCAAATTAAACTTTTATTACCTGATCATTAAAGTCCTGGCGATGGAAAAAACAGATGTCAGCGCTGTTCTTACGACCGCTGCGTTTTACGGTGTTGGTGAAAATTGAACCAAAGGGAGGCCGCCCCTCCACCTCCATTATAAAATTAAGGGGGAAATGATTTCCACATTCCACGGACAAGAGGGGCACTGGTGGGGCGCTGAGAGACGAGCGGTCGGTGTGTGACGGGTTAGCTGAACTACTCACAGAACCACCACAGACTGAGAGTTTATTAGTGCTGGGAAGGGCTCTACTGTGTTTATTGGTGCCGCACCGAGACTCGAGTACATTAAAAGAAATCTGCTTTATGACCGACTGCAGTCTTGTGCAAAACCCGCCGTCATGATGCTAGGGGGTTGCTATGTGGTTGCTAAAGTGTTCTGGGTGGATTGTAGTATGTTGCTAGGCAGTTTCGAGGTTGTTCTGGGTGGTTGCTAAGACACAGAAATGTGGTTACTATAGTATTGTGTTTAGCGGTTGCTAGGGTGTTTCTATGAGGTTGCTAAAGTGTTCTGAGTGGATTGTAGCATATTGCTAGGCAGTTTAGAGGTTGTTCTGGGTGGTTGCTAAGACATTGCAATGTGGTTGCTATAGTATTTTGTTTTACGGTTGCTAGGATGTTGCTATGTGGTTGCTAAAGTGTTCTGGGTTGTTGGTAGCATGTTGCTAGGCATTTTAAGGGTTGTTCTGGGTGGTTGCTAAGACATTGCAATGCAATTGTTATAGTATTAAATTTTGCGGTTGCTAGGGTGTTGCTATGTGGTTGCTAAAGTGTTCTGGGTGGATTGTAGCATGTTGTTAGGCAGTTCTGAGGTTGTTCTGGGTGGTTGCTAAGACACTGCGACACAGTTGCTATAGTATTTTGTTTTGCAGTTGCTAGGGTGTTGCTATGTGTTTCCTAAAGTCTTCTGGGTGGATTGTAGCATGTTGCCTGGCAGTATAATGGTTGTTCTGGATGGTTGCTAAGACATTGCAATGCAATTGCTTTAGTATTTAGTTTTGCAGTTGCTAGGGTGTTGCTATGTGGTTGCTAAGGTGTTCTGGGTAGTTTTTAACTAATTGTTATGAAGTTTCTAGGTTGTTCTGAGTGGTTGCTAAGACATTGCAATGCGGTTGCTATAGTATTTTGTTATGCAGTTTCTTGAGTGTGGCCATGTAGTTGCTTAGGTGTTCTGGGTGGATTGTAACATGTTGCTATGTAATTTCTAGGCTGCTTAGACATTGCACTGTGCTTGCTTTGGTGTCCTAAGAATTTTGTTAAGCATTGCTATGCTAGGGTATTGCTATGCGGTTGCTAAGGTCTTCTGAGTGGATTGTAGTTCGTTGCTGTCTGGTTGCCGGGGTGTTGCTATGCAGTATTTTTGGTCTCCTAAGAGGCTGGTTGTCCAGTTGCTATGCGGTTTCAAATGTGTTCTAAGTGGTTTTTAGCATGTTGTTATGCAGTTGCTAGGGCATTGCTATGTGGCTGCAGAGCTGTTCTGAGTGTTTTTTTTTGTTGGTTTTTTTTTTACCATGTTGCTATGTGGTCTCTAAGATTGCTAAGGTCTTGCTGTGGTTGCTAAGACTGCTAAAGTTTGCTAAGGTCTTCTGAGTGGTTTGTTGTTTGTTACTATGCGGTTGCTAGGGTGGTGCTATGCAGTTGCCAAGGTGTCCTAAGAGGTTGTTGGTACATGTCTATGTGTCTCTAAGTTGTTCAGTTTGTTGGACAAGTTGTTGTAGTTTTAAGCAAGTTGCTATGCGGTTGCTAGGGTGTAGTGAGTGGTTGGGATTTGTACAGTGTGTGGTGCCTAAGGAGTCTTTTTTAGGATGTTACTAGGGCATTTCCAGGCAGTTGCTAAGGTGTTCCAGTTGCTAAGTGGCTGCCTCAAAAGTCGAAAGTGTCCTCAAGGTGAAAATCATCTGAAAATGAGGTGAAAGAGTCACAGATTGGTAAAGTAACAGCACGATTACTGTATGTCTGGAGTACAAACGCTACAGGACGACACAAACACTAAACTTCGCTTAGTGAGTTCATTAAAATATGAGCAGTTGAAATGTGATGCTCAGTTTTTCCCCTAAATATATTCACTACCGCTTCATGGTTTTAATATTAGTATTGGCATCAGCTGAATGCAGACTTAAATAGAAACGAGCTTCATCTCTTTTGGGGAATATTTACATGATGTTTTGGAAATGGGTTCTAGTTCTTTGCTCGTGAGGGATGGTAGACAGAACTGAATTGAGAGGAAACTCTCCCTGATCTCTTGCTGTTCACAGCGTGTTTGACCGGCTCAACAAAACTCCAAGAGAGAAATAAAGATAAAGACAATGGCTGCTTTTATTTTCTTCTTTAGCCGCACATTCCACAGAAAGCGTGGAGATCGGCCACCCTCCTCGCAAAATGAATCACGGCCAGACAAATTCGTTTCTGGGTTGCGTTACTTAACTACAGTCATAGGTAAGGTTACCAGATTTTTCCTCATCCGCGCTCTCGCTCTCCTGCATTCAGACTCTTTATACCTTTCTGTCTCGGCAGCCAGACTGTTGCCATCTCTGGAAATAAATCAACTCCACTAGCATATCACACACACATCTGAATCACTGCTTATTGTAACCAGATGATGGTCACTGTTGTAATGTTTCTTTTAACATTAACAAAGTGTGAACTTGATTTGACCCCCAGATGTAGAGTGTTGCTACAACTACATGCACCACAATCTGATATCTGATGTCTTTCATTTTAATTGCAATAATAGACAGACCAGGGCTAGTTGTCACACTTTTTATGTCAGTTTATTTTCTGAAACCCACAGACACAAAACTTAAACTCTTAACTGCAAAAAAGCTATTGAACAGTTCAGATACAAAATATCATTAACTAGTAAGTGTTTGAACCCAGCATAGACAACCACTGATTGTAAAAACCAGCATTTGTACAATTAGACATTTGAATCAAGGTGCTTGTGACAACTTCCTGTGTGACAACTAGCCCCCGTCTTCCATTCGTATTTTGAGATGCTTCATTCAAACATCAGCTTTGTGAGAACTGCTGAGAGAATAAACATACGACACATAACAACACAAGCTTTAAGGCATTTGCTGTTTGAGACGCTCACACAAATCTCTTATCAGATTATTTACAAGCCTTGTAAACTAGTTCAGACTCACCTCACAAATCTGGCATGTACTGGGAAACTCGTCGGTAAAAGAAAGAGGAAATGCCATTAACAACTTGATTAGACTGAATATTTTGTTTGCTTCACCTATTGTTTACCTAACATAATAACTGCAACAAAGAATACAAGTTAATAGATTTTTTTTAATAAATTTTCTTAAAAACACACAACATCTTATGGAAGCCTGTATCCCCCAGGGAATAAAATACTTTAAAAAAGGTAATTAAATTAATTGGTTATTAATTTATAAAGAAATTTCTTTATAAACACAGAATTGCGTGAGGTATAAAATCAGAATTCTAAATTTTTGTCAAATTCAGAGTTTATATCTTGCAATTCTGACTTTTTATTCATGCAACATCCACATGTAGGTTAGGTTTCAATGACAATATATATTTTATATAGAATACAATTTTTAATTGAGTCACTATCAAATTTTGTATTTCATAATGAAATACAAAATCAAGTTATATTTACATTTAAGTATACCTATGATGAACATGAATGAGTATATAATGAAACACCACTACCCTTCTAATGCAAATAAAAATGAAATGTACACACATACTGTAATACCTGAGGACATTCCTGTTGATAACGATATGATGATGATTTATCCTTCTATCTATCCTTTAACCGCTTTTGAAATGATACTTTGGAAACAAACTGTCACTGATTTTCAAAGGAAACTAGCTTTACTCCTCATGATAAAAGGGAACTCTATAAAAGAAGAACAAACATCTACATGTTTATCCAGTTATAGGTCAAAACTATTTGTTCATTATTATTCTTTCACATTGGCTGGAAATCATATGTATTTGACCTCAGGTCATTTTTTTTACATCACAGTGTGTGAGGCTTCATTCATAGCAATTTACGAATGTAAATCTGCTGAAACACAGTATGAACACTGTGCCTTCATAATGAAGACATAAAACATAATTTAAATGTGATCATCAGGATTTACTCTGTAACTTCCCTTGAAACATATGAATAACTTTTCTGACAGACCATTGAAATAAAGTTTCAGAAAGACACATTTGTTTTTGCTATCACTGACTTGTAGCATATTGTTTTCATACTGAACTAATTAGCCTATATTTTCTATCCCCAGCCCTTAAACACACAAACCTTTCTGTACTCCAACATTTCGAGTAAGATACTATTTAGTGTGTTTTTGAACAATGTATATTCCCTTTTTTTTTTTTTTTTTGCATTTTTAGAAACTTTTACAAAATAAAATTCAAAATAATAAATACATTATATCTGATTTATAAAGCATCAAAGAGTAATTAAAATGCCCTTTTATGCCTGTTTTTCACGTTTCGCTATATTTGTACATTTTTATAACTTAGCATAGACATGCATAGATAAATGAGCGTGCGCGTACACACAGAGCAGGATGGTCATTGTGGTGGAGCTACACGCGCGCGTTGAGGACTGGAGCAGTAGGAGGAGGAACTTCAGGTCGCTCATTTATTGAACGTTTCTTCACATTAGTGCGCACTCGAGTGCGCCACACACTACACACGCAGGGAGCGAGACACACGCGGCAGAGCTCTCGATCACAGCGCGCGCAGCCGGATCGTTCCAAATTTCAAAATTCGAATGTAACCGCAGCGGCGGGATGCGACATTATATCCGTCTGTCGGCGCTTTGATCAACGCACTACCCGCAGGATGGAGAGGAAACTTGGCTGAACTTACAGCTGATTTTTCATTTGCTTTACTTCAGACATGGTGAGTGCATCATTTCCTCACTGATATTGTCTTACGACCCGCTAATATTTCCTGTCTTTATAATATAATGCATTATTTATCCTTCATACTGTGAGTTATGTCGTTAGAAAATCTCTTAAAACGAGGAAAGTGCAGGAGGACGCGTTTGTTAACATTTTGAGGAGGTTTAAAGGATGGTTAAAGATGCAGATATCTAAATACATTAAAAAAAAAAGAAAAAGTTTAATTTAGGAACAAAATTGTGTTATAGTGGTATGTCATGGGAGATGCTTTTTATTCTTTTCCCTTCCTTGTGCATTAAAAGAAACCTAAACACTGATCTGAAGAACCAATAAAGAAACATCACTATTTTTTAGAACCATATAGAAATTCACGAACCCTGTAACCCTCTTTTTAAAAGAGTGCAGATAAAATAAAACAAGGCCTACTGTATACAGTGCATTGAGTGTTTCTGTTTCATGTAAGACACATTTTTATTATTGTTTGTATTCGTATTACATTTTGCATAACACTTCAATCAAACAATATAAAAATGCCTAAATTTAATCATGCTATAGTTTGAACTGAATTGAAGATTATAGTTGAGATTATTCAGTTCATACTCTTAAAAATGAAGATGAGGCTACTGAATAGTTACTAGCTTTAGAACTTTCTGCTATACAAAGAACTATATTTGGCAATCTAGGGTAAAATCAATTTAATAGATAGAAGAAAAAAATAGATAAAAAAATCTGGATGTATCATTGCAGGTTCTTCAGATCCGTTTTTTTTTTGCGTACTGGATTCCAAACACAAAGTAATAATAATAATTTGCCAGTCATCGTTTAGACAAATGTAATAAACAAAACATTTTATGCAAACAGAATTAAAAGTACTATAATTTGAATACAGCTAGAATCAAAGATTTATTTGAAAGTCATTTAGCTGTTAAGTGAAATATTAGTGCTCCAAATCAGGTAGATACCTATTTTGTATTTGTAATAATTTGTATTAATGTAGTACCTATTTTTAGACTGAGACTGAAGCATCACACTGACCAAATGCACAAAAGAAAAAAAATGACGATCTTGCGCTGTGCAGACTTAAAATATTATAAATGATTGTCTTTTGGGGCCTTTTTCCATCAAAACTAAGGTGAAATGTAAAAGTTTTTTTTTTGTTTTTTTTTTGCTTATATCATGGGAAGCTCAGTGTGATTAAAATGCTAACATGATTTGAACTAATTCTTTTGGGTTAAAATGCAGTAAAATATTTTTTCAGATCACTACCTGACCTTTACACTTCAGTAGTTTTTGTCGGGAAAAGGCCCCTTCTATTATTTAAAAACCAAAGAAAATTTAATTAGTACTATTCGGAATCATTTTCCTAATAGTGTAGAAGGTCTTTGAACAGAATACTTTCTGTTATCATTGTTAATTTAATTTATCTACATTGCTTCACTCAGTACAATCACACTTGGTAATGATTTTTATTCTCATGTCTTAGTTTATGCATACGTGTCTATTCACACGAGTAGTTTTCTTTTATGAAATTTGGCTGGTTGAACGAAATCAATGCCGGATTTCACAGAGCTGGACGATTACCCTGAAATCGCTGAGGCGATGTTTAAAGTCAGGAAGCTAATAAGGTAATTTTAGGGTGCCTTGCTAAGCATTTTTCAAAGAGAAGCATTCATCGTCCTCGAGAAGCTCTCACAACCCACTGCTCAATACATTCACCGCTTTGTTTCACGAGAACGCAGGTCACTGTTGCACAATTCCAAATTATTAACAACCCAGGTCCACAGAAGAGATCAGGAATCGGACACTGAGATCCAAAACCAGTTGCAGATGTAGTACTGATCCTAAACGCCAGTGCTTTCTTTCCCAAATGCAATGATTCTACCACCACCATGACTTTGCAACACCAAAACAAGTCCAAGAAATATTGATTCATGCACGGCAACTCATCAGATTTTGTTTTTCTATCATGACAATGATATAACGAATAATATTTCTCATTGCAGAACATACAGTGCAACTATTTTTGTCTTTGGTAACTTGACATATTGTGATTACTTTGAAAAACATTGTAATATGATGAACTTTTATCTGGTGTTGGTGTTTGGTGCAATTCCTCTTTAAAAGAACCAAATTCAGTTCAGTACCACTGGATTCAATCAAATCCAGTTGAAGTGGCCACTTTCCAGCCTGTTCACACTTTAAAAGAATCAAATTCAAACCTTTTTGACTATCACAAAAAATGAATTGGTAAAAATGAACCCCTCTGCCTTTGCATTCACATTTTACATGCTTTGAAAATGGAGTCATATCTCTTATTCTCTGTGTCTCAATGTAGATTTTGAGGATGTGCAGTGCTCCATTTTAAAGCATGCAGATATTTTTTATTAATTTAATCAAAGCCTTTTGTGGATATGTCAGATCACAGATTAATTAGACTGAAATCAGACATAAATGCAGACTTATTTCAATTCTTTTCGGAAAATGTTAGACGCACATCAAAGTTCATGTGCACAGGGGCAAGTTTGATTTAACGCTCTCGTTTTCAGTGTATAATAACATCAGGTCCCATTCTGAGCTCTCTTTTCGTCATGGTTCTGATTACTAACCCTAATAAATTGTGAATAAGCTGCACAATTCCTGCTCGAGGAGGCAAAGCGAGGCCCGAGTTCCCCATCCTGAGACGCCCCCTCTTAAGAAAACACGAATTAATTCCTAAAGTCCTCTGTAGCCAAAGGTTTCTGGAATGATAAATATTTTCATAGGAAGCACGGCTCTTCCTGAGTTTATCGGCGCTCGGTTCATTACGGCCCGGCCAATGTTAACCCCTCGGTTTTAGGGTGAGGCTGGAGGCCTTGAACTCCGCTTCTGCTTTGAATTGTCAACCGATCCTCTGCTTCCAGATGGAAGATAACCTCGCTCGTAATGAGCAAAATATTTAGCTAGCGCCCATAGAGGGATTCCCGAAGTCTCGTGAGTCTTACGCAACTGAATGTGATCAGTAGCGAAAAGCCGTTGTCACAGTTAACACTTTGCCACATCATCAGACAGACGCGAGTCGCGACTGTGGCTCGGAGTCAAGGCCAAGGAATTTTTCACTGCTCAGGATTAAAGGTATTAGGGCTGTCAAAATGGCTGAAAAACTAAATTAGAATTTTGTACTTAAATATGATCAAAATTCGAAAAAAGCTTTTGGCTTCTCTCCTGAGGACACAAGAGGGCGCACCGAGCAAAATATTACTAATGCACGTTTATTCAAAGCATAAGATAACATGACTATCTGTGGAAAAAAGTGCATAATGTTTAAAATAATGTTGATAAACCAATTATAATTAATTAAGTTGCTTAAACAACTAATAACAACACAGCATCATGTATGTATGCATAGTTTAATACAAAGGGCCGAAAGACAATCACACAGAATACATTTTTCATTTAAAAACATGAGATGCAGTGGGATGGGGAAAAAACCCGCCTTAAAGTCTCGATATATGTTTATTTTCAAAGTTAAACTTGCATTAATTTTACATGGCTTTCTAAACATGCGGCTCTTTTGTGCGAGACGTGAGTGCAAAGGTGATAGATGCCCTTCTAGAAAATGCACGAAATATGCGTTCTGTGTGAACGGCTTGGTTTCAGTTTTGACGTAAACAAGATCTTCTCCGCATTGATGTTCTCTTTTTCCGCAATATTTTTAATGAACAACGCAGCAGCGCCACATCTAGTGGCTTCAACTGGACAGGATAACAAATACATTATAACGCAACGACACTTACATCGTCATCGCATCTCGTGTGCCACTGATAAGGCTGCCTCCTTAACGCACACCTAAAATTCGAATGCAACGTTTTTGCATTCCAATGTGGATTTTTATTTTAAATTCGACGAATATTCGAAATTGGAAAAAAAATTGGACAGCCCTAAAATGTATGAAAAGCCTATAATGCAAATATAGAAAAAGAAGCTTTCTGAACAAACATGAATTTTAGTAGTGCAACATTCTTAATAACACTAATAGCAACAAGGCAAGCATCACTACTATTATTGATCATACTTGGAGAAAAATTTGCTCTGAATTTCTAGCCGGTCTTTTCCCAAAACAACTGTTGATTTGAGTATACAGGAATGCTTTAGCAGGACAGTTACGGTCAGAGGCCCGACGACAGCGAGCTGAACTTCACATAAACTCCTCGCTTTGATCAGACGACGCTCTAACAGTCTTTGATTACAACCAAACTTCCTTTTGTAAAGCGAAGAAACTGGTGTGGTCAAATGTTGAATGTTTTGGGTGATTTGCATTACTTTCGAAGGTTTAAACACTGATTGTTGATCATATTTGGCTTTCCAGACAATAAATATCAGAATTTTAAAATTGTGATCTGGAGGTCCTTTCTATAGTGAGTATTATTATTTTATGAACTGTATATAGAAAAACAAGATCAAAAGGTATATATAAAACAACAAGATCAAAAACAATTTCTTTTGTGGTTTCTGTGTACCTGTGTCACGTTACTGGGGCGTTGCTATGGAGTAGCTATGGTGATCTAGGTGGTTGCTAGGTGGTTGCTTACTGCTGTAAGTGAAAAGTCTCTGATATTTTCATCTTGGGCCCAACTTCATTGTAAGTCTGTGGGATTTTCCACATCATTTAATTTGTTCAGATCATTAACCAAAGATATGATCAACACTAATAATGATGCTTGACTTAACAAATGAGAGAATATAGTGTGGAGAGATTCTGTATGTTAATGGGAGTAGGAAGCAACACAGTTTTGTAGTTCCCTTTCAGTCTGTCACACACACACACACACACACACACAGTCATCCAAACCCCTCCTTTTCCCTACCGTCTCATTCTTTTCACCAAACAGCAGCTGGTTCTTCAGCTATTGCCAATCTTTAGTCCTTATCTTATATCTTAACACACACACACACACACACGCATTCGTGCGCTTGCGCGTGAATGAAGGCTTACAATGACTTACAAAGATAAATTTTACA